TCTTCATTCTTCTCTCTCAGGACCTGCTCTTAAATGTTACGGCTACCCATTATACAAACATTTTGAAATAAAAGCGATAATGCTTCTTCCTCCCGTACCTCCCTTACTTTAGTGAACAGCGTCTGGTCTGGATGTCATTGTTATTGTTCTTTTGGCTCATGCGGTCAGTTCGAAACCGCAAACAGTTCACACTGGAATCTGATATAGGCCACATTTTAAAAGGTAATGTGAACAGCCAAACAAAAAAATCGGATCTGAGCAAAAAATCAGAATTGAGCATTAAGACTTGCGGTGTGAACATAGCCTTAGATTTGTCTGTCTGTCTGTCTGTCTGTCTGTGCATTATCAAATGCAGGCCTAGAGGTCAGCAAGGCACAAAATCATTACTATCAGTTAAATAATGCAGCCAAGGCCTGTCACTTAACTCTGCAAGAGGGAGGGCGAAATAAATAGAGAAGGTATAGAGAAAATTGGCAAAGGAGGACCAAGGGAGTGATAATTGGTTAACAACCTGAATCATATGCACACTTTAAATGTTTGACTTGAATGAATAATGAGGATTGTTTGTTTATGTGCATCGAAATTTGAAATAGGTTTGTTCCCTCGTGTTTACAAACATGTAAATAAACCTTTCCTGACATCAGAAAAACAATAACTTTTGATTTCAGCATTAGAGATTAAATTAAAATATGAAGCATGAAAAGGAAGAAGGGCACCGAGATGTTACCTGCTACAAAAACAAAGCAAACAGCAGTAAATGCTCCTAAAGAAAGAATACAGGAGGGATAATTCAGACTAAAGCCCAAGAAGACACAAGCAGTTCTGTCACAGGGCAGCGACAGGGGGGCACCTCCTCCACAGGTTCACACCTACAACACATTTACACATTACAATGATACCTTATCCTATATATTCAAATAGCATATACAGTAGAAATTTGTCTATTTCTGTCTGGATTTGTAATATTTTTTTGCCCTTAATAAGACTAAAGGATGCACAGTCATAAAGCCTTAAAATACATTCAAGCTAACTGTGTAATAATAGGAGTATTTTCATACTTGGAGCTCATGTGTTTTAATCAACTTACCATGGAGAGCGAGCTCCATTTAATGGGCCAATTAAAATTTGTCTGGAAACAAATCGAAAATATGCATTAAAAACACTCTCAGCTGCTGATGACACAGAACTGAGTCATCAAATAAAATCTGGCTGGAGTGCTACATAAATTAGATAAGACTTTGGACAGCTTTTCTACATCTCCTTGTCAACACACATAAGAATATTTAAAAACCGAGATCCAGAATTTGAGCTCTCAGTCTGACAGTGCTCCTTACATATCTGTGACACTTCTAGCTAACAAGGTGTCTATTATTACCTGGACTACCTCACCTTTCCCAGCTCTTCCTACCACTTATTAATATGACTTTTTACTGCCTACAGGAGCTTTGGTACAGACAAGACTGAACCATCGGCATCGTTTCCTGACAGCTCCTACAGAAATAATGCTTATCTCACTGAGGACGTAAAGGTGCAGACAAAATACACCTCAGTATACCAACATGTATCATTAAAATTAAACATGCACACACACCTCTCTCATCAGCAGTATTCATATGTACGGAGAGGGTGATTAACAGTTTGCAGCACCTCTCTAAAGGTCTCCATTAATAGGTGAGACAGACAGGTAGACAGACAGATTACTGTTGTTCGCCTCAGGAAGATTACTGCACAATGGCCTCCACTTGGCATTTTGCACACAACATATTTCACTGGATTTACCACAACACTGTTGCAACAACATGCTTATTTGTAGAGCCCATATCAGCCCACTTTGTCACTTGGGGTCGAGACACAGAGCTACCTGCCCGGCCCACCATTACTCCACCTCTTCCCTTTTCTACTTTTCCTGTAGTTACTTTGTTTTATCTATTAATTTTCTCATCTTGTGCCACCTTCATGTTCTCTCGCTTTACCTTCACACACCAACATACATACACCCCATTTTCATGACAATCCACTCATATCCTGCCTGCACCTATTTGACAATGGTAATTGTTTTACCATATATATATTTTTTTACAATTATCTGCACTGCGTCTACACAGAAAATATAAAATGTACATTATTGTAAATCTAGACAATTCTAAGATTTTTCTTCTATGTACAAATGTACAGGTATAGAGCCACACTTCAGATACTAACATTAACTCTTAAGCAAAGTAGCCAGATATTATATTAACTGTATTAATGAAGACTTCAGACTCAGGCAACAGGTCCCCCAAACTGCTGTCCAAACTGTATTTCTTTGGTTAAGATAAGGGAAACATAGTGACCATGGTTAAAAGGAACCAACACTGACTGTTAGGAAACAGGATACAGACTGGTGAGCTGTGTCAAAGTTACAATACACACTTTGTTAAAATAAACGGAAGTTTTGCTGGATAATGTTTGAGTGAGATTTTAGGTTATGAGGTCAGTCAGCAAATCAAATTATCATCCATTGATAAATTATGAAATGGTTATTAAATAATTAGGCAATGTGGTTCGACCCATTCTTGTACACTGATGCAATTGAACAAACATACAATGTGAGGAAGGGAGGTAAACACATGGGAAAGGAGTGGGAAGCAGAATTACCAATACAACATACACATTAACACACACACACACACACAGAGACACACACACACACACCCACTCTCTCAGTCAGTGTGTGAACTTT